AAGACCCGGGGATTGACCAACTTATATTACAAGGATATTGTAGGATCTGAGGTTCTTACTGAAAGTCAACCGATGTGCTCCTCCGTAAGGTCTGTTCACTTTGAACGAACTACATGGCGTTGTATCCCAGAAGATAGAATTGCGCGGTAGCGTAGTTGATCGAGGCACTATGCTACAAGTCGGAAGGTAGCGGGTTCGAGTCCTGATGAGGAGGATATTTTTAATTTACCTAATTTTTCCAGCCGCACTATGTCCTTGGGTTCGACTCAGCCGTTAGCAGAAATGAGTACCAGAAATCTTACTGTGGGTAAAGGGCGGCCGGCGCGTAAGGCTGAATACCTCACCGCATCTGTGAGCCGATGGTCTAGAAAATGTGGGAGTCCAGACGCCACACAACCCTATGGGCCTTCATGGACTCTTACAGGGATAGAGTTTTAGAACTATTTTAAAAGAAATTGTTTACAATGTAGGCTCCTTAATTTGTATATAAGTAATGCAGTTGTTTGGCAGTTGGTAGACTGGGTACTAAAAGCCCCATTTTGTGCCAAGACCAGGGGCATGTCAGAGTTTGACGTCTCTTGAAAACGTTATTGATATCATGTGATATCTTTGTAGTTTCCCAGTGTACTCAAGGTCTTTACCTCAGAACATTATAATACAGCAAAATGGCGGCTCTATCCATACATAGGAGAAAGTGTCAAATTTCGTGTGGCAGTTGACGCGTTTCAGTGAGCTGAGGGGAATGGTTAGTTGTGCCGCAAACATCAATACTCGGTTATGTACAGGAGCTGTTACAGTTAATTCAGAGAATTTCCCTGAAATGGAATCCTGCACAATGCAGCACAAAGCAGATGGATGTGTCAACCATGCCTACGGCCTGCTGCCAACGAACCGCGATATGATAACAATTACAAAATTGTAACAGCAGGTTATGAATTTTGAGACTCCGCGCTCCTCCAGCACTCCGGTAAACGCCTAACAGAATATACAAAGTCAAATACAAGAAAAGAGAAGGTAATATGCGATGTTTACACGGCCCAACATTTAATTCATTCGGAATTGCTAGGTTTGTGGACTCCGTCCATCGTACAATACGAGGTGATACCGGAAAGTTCCCGGACTGTTATTGTTGTCACTGCCTCGGCGAAAGAAGATGAGAGGGAAGGCCAAGGTCACACTTCCACAAGCCTATTGCTTCGTGAGGCTTTTTAGAGAACATTCTTTAGGCCGTACAGCGGTTTTTGAATGACATTCACGTTTCAAGACCGGTCGAGTGTCAGTTGAATGTGACGAACGTTCAGGACGACCAAGCACCAGCAAAACGACAGAAAGTGATGAAAACATTCGAGAACTCATCCACGAAGACCCTCGCCGAACAATCCATGAGCTCGCAAATACCGTTGGGGTCAGTTGTGGAGTTTGCCAGGAGATCTTAAAAGAAAATTTGAACATGCGCCGCATTGCTCCTTCATCACGACAACGCGCCCGCCCACATGTCCCTCAAAATCACAGTTTGTGACTAACAGCAACATGATTATCATTCCCCATCCTCCGTACTCACGGGACTTAGCCCCCTGTGATTTCGCTTTGCTTCCTAAAATGAACATGAAACTGAAGGGACGACATTTTGAAACTGTGTCTGACATCCAAAGGGAACCGCAATAAGGAAAATGGCTTCCACGATGCTTTTGAAGCGTGTACAAACAATGGGATCACTGTATACGTTCCCAAGGAGACTATTTTGAAGGATGTGGCAGCCAAAATTGAGTACGTTAAGCCAGCATTTCGTTTTTGACCTAGTCCGGGAACTTTCCGATAGAACCTCGTATTCTTAGCAATACGACATTTCAGAAACTGGATCAGTTTCTCTCCGCAGGTGAGGGAGTGGATGACAGCTACTATGTTGGGTCCTTTAGAAAGAGCTAACTTCAATCACTGGACAAAGCACAAAATCCAGCAATTCCGAGTGTTGTACACCATCATCAGAACCTGTTTTATTAATTTATAACTGAACCAGTTCTCCATAAGATTTGAACAAGAGGTCTTATTTGCAGCACCTATTTCGAGGTCTGCATTCTCTTTGGACAAAAGCGCAAACACACTTACATCGCACTGACTTTTTTATGTAAGGTACGCAAATTTGTAGGCATGTGTTATTGAATGATTCGTCGAGTCCGTTTGGCATCCAGTGCCATCTATCGGACACAGAGAGGAATCACGTCCTCTGTGAGCGCAGACTTACATTCAAATTGGCTTTTGTGTGTGCGATGTGATTTATTCTTCATATATTTAACGTCGTTTCAATAGCTCAGATTATATGGCGTTTATAATTCGATGATCAGTGAATAATGAATGGGACAGGGAGTGAAAGGAAATGGTCAGAGACTAATTTCATACATCATCCCGTCAATTAACCGTAGGGACTGAAGGAAACCACGAAAATATCCTTCAAATAGTGAATAGCGATGTTCAGGCGGTAATTTGAACCCAGGGCCTCCAAAAACAAAGCAGGAATTCTACTCATCTCACCATGACTTCCGATAACAATTGTTTGGTCCGAAATTCATAGATTTCTACTTAAGCGAAAGTACGAAATGAAACTAATGTAAAAAATTACGTATTTAAAGCATAAAATTATTAAAACATGAAGGAAGACTGAAGTGGAAACGTCAGAACAATAACTCTCTGGTTATACTGTTGCAGTTGAATAGGGACAGCACGAAGCATAAGCAGGGATAACTGTTCGTTTCAATGGGACAATGGGACCAGTACCAGTCCACAAAGCAACACTCTTCAGTCCAATGGGATTCTCTATAATACGATTATCCTTGAATCTGAAATTGACCCACGTTCTAAACACCATTGTTATTTGCAATCTATCTATTGATTGGTTCGGTTTATACTAACCTACGTAATGTTCCCTTTCTTACGAATTGTCTCGTGACGTTCAATGGTTCCATTTGTGACACGTAACAATTGCTATTTTAAATAGTGCTGCTTCCAGGAAAGTCAAGAATACTAAAATATCTCTTCAAACACGAAATTCTAATCACCATACAACAATAATTTTCCCTTCAGAATAAAGCTGGGTGATTCTGGAGTATTTTAATTGAGGACCTTTTCTTTTCCGTTCGAAGCATGAGTCAGAGTAAGAGTCAGAATTACTTTACGACTGGCTTTTAACCGCCAATCAGTTAGTCTTGGCTCCAAGACCCTTGAGGATCACGACCAGAGATTTTATTCCAACTGAACCCATGCGGTTATAGTTCTTATGTAACATTCTCTCTGACGAAAGGACGGGTTTATCTCTTAAGAACATATTTGACCTTGTCAAGTGTACGTTTGAAGCATGAAATTAATGTAAATAACATATAAAAGTTCAGTCCATACCTCACAGGAAACACAATTACGTCTCCGCTACAAAGCCCAACCATTTAATGCTGTTTAGGGGAATAATCGCTGCTTATTTTGAGAATCATAATCAAAGAAATGAATACAATCTGTGGGCCAGAAGTACTCTTTTTAGACTACTTTCCTTATTTTGAAACAATGAAAGTAGGCTTATGCGATCTCCATGCCGTCTGTGCATACCCCCATATCAACTTCTGAATGCGTGAACCATTCTTTATGAAACTTAGTATGTATATCATGGCGCCTGAGCCCATCTTAACGGCGTACTTCATAAATTCCTACCGTCAGTCTTTGTGTATATGTATCGCTCTATCGTTGTTAGGCAACGTTCCGGTAAAAGCTTCACAACTTATTTATTAATTTGGCTTGAAGTAAGCGAGTATGTCGCGGGGTTCGGAATATTTCTGTGGGGTTTGCAGCAGGAAACCTGAGGAGAAGGCAGTTTCTGCCACCACAAGTCAAGCCGAGAGGGGTCCAGCCGGTCGGAGCTGATCCCGGGGCTGATGGCTTCCAGATGCGGAATGCCTTACGTAGGATGACGGCTTTCGTTGGTTTTAACCAATAGAAATGCCTGCATTCGGTGTAGGGGTGAGGAACTCTGTGCGAATCGAGCCAGTTGGCAATGAGGGGCTTGTGTTGGCGTCGGACTCCATTGCGTCGCTGGTACGAGTCATCACGGAGGGGAGGGGGGTGCTTTTTCTTCAACTTCATCGGACAACGGACGTGTTTTGCGACTTTGGAAATTTGTTATAATAAAATAATACCAGTGGTGGATAAACTGACGCGAGGGAGAAATCGAGCAGATCATTACACCTCGTCGCTTCTGCGAATTAAGTAACTCACTGCTAATTATATAAACTGGCGAAGCAGAATAAATGCATTTACCATCAAAGTGAATCAGGAGCGCCTTGCTTCCCAGTGGATGCAACCCTGGAGACAGAGTCACACCAGCTGAGTTGCTTATTCTTAACCATCCACACCTCAGCTCACGCCGCCCAACCAGGAGGTCAAGTTGAGCTGGACGGTAATACCCTCACAGTATTAATTTTGAGTGGGGCACGCAGTACCATGGTTGAGGCACTATGCTACAAGTCCCGATGAGGTGGATTTTTTTTTTCAATTGACCTAATCCTTCCAGCCACACTATGGTCCTGGGGCCGACTCAGCCTCTAACAGAAATGAGTACTAGGAATCTTCCTGAGGGGTAAAGGACAGCCGGCGCGTAAGGCTGACAGCCTCACCGCCATCTATGGGCTTATTATCTATCAAATGTGGGAGCCTCGATGTCTCACATCCCTATGTACCTCTACAGCCTCTTACAGGGATAGCTTTACCTTTATTAATTTTGTGTGGAAAACAAATTATGAGGCTCCACTATCCTGTTATTTCTTGCAGATATTCTCCTCGGAGCCCCGCCCTCAAATGCCTTGACATGAGACGGGCAACACGGAAGCATGTAGCCCGTGCTGGTGTAATGTTGTAATGGTAAAGTTCAGTGTAGGTCACTGGGAGAGGCTGGCCGCCGTCTGCAGACCGTAATGAACTCTCTTTGAACCGGCTTACTGTACCGGGACATGAGAGACACTCACCTGTATAGAAGCGGCTTTGCCGGGAACGGACGCAACCACCACGACGATCAGGACCAGGGGAAGTAGGTTCATGGTCGAGATGATGACACTGGTGGGAGTTGTCATCACAGACAGTCTGCAACATCATGCAGAACTTCACTAAGTGTCTCGGTAATGTAATTATGATTACATTATTTTCATATATGATTCCGTATAGTCTGGTAGAAGGATGCCAACATTTCAGTGGATCCTGCTGTCTCCATCTTCAGGTTAGAATGCATTCTATCCTGAAAATGGAGGCAACAGGTTCCTCCGAAACTTTGGGAACTCTTCTACCAGGCTAAACGAGTCACAGTATTTTTATCCTGAAGCCTGAAGCAGCCTCTGTAATTTTCGCTTATTCTCTGGCATAGTCTTAAAGAAAAAGCAATACCTCTGCGGTCCGGTAGACGGCCCCAGGGTAAAATCATGACGTGGAGTCGTTATTGTCACCTAACTAGAACTCCATGGACGCAGAATTTAACGACAAGAACCTCGTTAAAAGCGCGTACTTAAAAGGCCGACGCTTACATTTCTGTCAGAGCCGTAGGAATGTAAGCAAGCCACAATCTGCACTATTATCACAGTAGTCCCTGAAGATGGCCCTACGGGACCGCAACTTCAGAGGTGATTATGTTAACTCAGGTTTCTGGTAAAGCTTGTCACGTTTGTTCCATGTCTTATTCATACACTGTTATGTCTTATTTCATTTATCTATGACTTCTCATTTAAACTACGTGTCAGTATGACGCGCTGGCATTCAAAAGTTGCGCTGAGGACCGCCCTGCACATCCCTGGCTCCACTAGGACCCTAAATATATTCGCTACCGCATTTAAATTATATAAACGCATTCCTCTGTCCGATAGTAGTGTAATTGAAACTAAGTTATGTTATTTGCGGGTTGGCGTGCAGGGAGTGCTGTACGAATCTCGCTCGGGGGACAGGATCTTGACGGTTTTCCTCAGTCCGTCCAGGTAAATACCGGGGTAGTTATTCGATTAGGTTACGACCCTTTCCTTCCAAATCCTTGTTAATTCATCAGTTATTCTATAATTCGGCGTAGTGTCGAATAGTGTTTTACAGTGTCACGTACAACACTTTGTTCTATTAAAAGTTATTCACTTGAGAAGTTTTCCTCGCCCAGTAATTTTAACTCCTGATATTGACCACATTTGTCGAAACATGTAGTGAAAAACTTTTAAACTGAATACCTTTTAATAAGTTTAGAACATAATGTTGTACGTGACACTGTAAAAACTAATCGATACTAAGTGAAAAGTGCAACAGGACACTACAGTATAATATTATGATTCGGCGCTACACAATCTGGGCACTGACGGCGCCCTAGAATAAGGCACACACAAAAATACAAAGAGGCAGACAAATATGTTACGTCACACGTCCTTCTGGTGGAATGTAAATTGAACAAAGTAGAAAATACAAACACTCTGAAAGCGCGGCCCGCCACATCAAGCTTTCAAGACTAGTAACAGAAATCGAACCCAGAGATGCTTATAACGTAATTTTGTTACGTCAGCTGTACACGACAGAAACACGCAAACTTCACGTGCGAGAAATTTGTCAGGCAGTACATGGACATGTAAGTTATGAGGTTCTCAACGCAATGAAAATTGTGATTACAGTATTCCGATATATAATTCCGTATAATCTGGTAGAAGGGTGCCAACATTTCAGAGGATCCTGCTGTCTCCATATTTAGGTCAGAATGCTTTCTGTCCTGAAAATGGAGGCAACAGGTTCCTCCGAAACCTTAGCAACCCTTCTAGCAGACTAAACGGGTCACAATATTTTAATCCTGAAGTTGGATGCAGCAGCTTCCGTCGAAGCGTTCGTACCTTTTTACCAGATTACACGGTGTCATATCCTAGAAGATAGCAATCTTAAATTACTGTATCGGTTACAGGATATAATGAATTTATGTATTTCGTCAGGCGTATAAATGTGGGTGGAATTTGAAAAAGACACGAAACACAGCACTTGGATGGCCGTGAAGAACTAGTATAGATGTTAAGACAACTGAAAACGTCTTATGAAGAGATTTTCATGGTTTAATTTCACACAGAATTAAAATGTCGCATAATGTACATTACTTACTGATACGTATGTAAGTATGTGAGCAGCTACTGAACTGTTTCTGCTAACTCTATGAGCGGTCGGCTTATGAAACCGAATACATTTCAACATAATATTAACCCATTGCCATGTTATTGAGAGCGCTCAAAGTTCCTAACATAAAAGTAACTCAAATATGTAAAAATATATGCCTAAAATTACTACGTATTTCATCATCTGCTCTACAACAAGTAAACTATTTTGTCTTCTAAAAGTACCGCCTTTTGGGATTGTACTGTATGTAGTCTGGTACGAATTTGCTGACGTTTCGGAGAAACGTACTGCCTCCATCTTTAGGGTTAGATATTAAAGGAAACAAAGAAGCAGTAGGCAGTTTGACTTACTGTTCCACCCTAAAGATGGAGGCAATACGTTTCTTCGAAACGTCAGTAAACTGCTACATAGCGCAACATCCCACAAAGTGTCACCTCACGTGACGTGTGACGGCCGTCAAGCTAACTTAACTAAACAGCAGGCAGCGCTTCTGACACTCGTCAGAATATGGCAGCGGGTTAAGAGTAATCTTATGGAAGTTACCGGAAAGCCAGAAGAGATGTTCGTGCGGCAGATGTTATCTGTAACTGCGACCAGCCGTTCTGAACACCTCCTGCCTACCGATACTGTGTTTTATAGGGGAGAGGGTTGTGAGGAAAATGTGCCCTTACTGTGGAGGGAGGGGGGTGTCAGGGGGTAGGCGTGGTCCGGCAGTGGGATCCAGAACATGGAGACAGAAGAGGACAGATATATACGCATGAGTGTGAGGACACAGGTAAGGGAAGAAGGACACATCTGAGTTCCATTACGGCTTCAATGGTTGCTAGGTCCCCGCCTCCAGAAAAATGAGCATTTAAATCATTTTTACTTCGTAAGGAGCTTTATTTATTCGAGAGGGTGGGAGTGACAGAAGGATTTTATTAGAATGATCAAGGCAAGGAGGATGAGATTGTCCAGGCATGTAGCACACATGGAATGAAGGGATATGCATACCAGCAAAACATAAAATAAAAAATAAAACACTACGGGATGGAGGGCGCAGGTTCGTTTCCGGGTGGGGGCAAGATTTTTCTCTTCTCCACAGCGTCCAGATCGGGTCTGGTGCACACCCAGCCTCCTATCCAGCCTCTTTCCATGGGGGTAAAGCGGCAGGGGCGTGAAACTGACCATTCATCTCCATCTAGTGCCGAGGCCAAGAACCGTGGAGCTAATAGTTCACTTCTTCATATGTCTTGAGTGCTTAATTAATTTAGAACAGGGGAAAATTTACTGTTACCACTTGGCAAACTTAGGTGTAGATTGGGGATAATATTAAGACGGATCTTAAAGTGATAGGGTAAGAGTGTATGGAGTACATTCACTGGCTCAAGACCAGTAGTGAGCTCTTGTGAACACGGTAAAGAACATTCGTGCTCGTTCCTTGTTCAGCTGAGAAAGTTTTACGAGTAGTTTGTTAAGGCGGACTCTGGTATTTGGAGTCAGATAAGAGAACTTGCCCTAGAAATTCATGATTTATTTCGAGCAATAAATTAAATGTAACTATTTCAAACCCGGATTTGCCGAATACGAGGCAGACGCGTTTCCCTCTCGGCAGTGACATTTTGTGGGGAAGCACCACGGAGAAGAATAAACTAGTTCCGGTTACTCGGTGAGTTGGGGATCGATTTCTGGCAGGGACAAAAGATTTCTCTCTTGACCGCAGTGTCCAGACCGGCTGTGGCTCGCACCCAACATACCAACCTAATGGGTACCGGGGGCTATTTCCCGGAGGGTTGTCCGGCCCGCAGGATGTGGAACTGACCATTAGTTTAATTTAGTGCCGAGCCCAAGAAAGAATGGAGCTTTACGTCCACTCCTGCAATACGTCTTCACGGTATGGTGCTTAATTAAGAACACCAACAAATTTATCGTTTAAATTTTACTTCTCTTAACCGTAGAAGTTCCACCTTTAGCCACGTGGTCATTTTGTGTTGCCAGGGACGCTATAATTTTTGGCGCAAATAAAACTTTCTCTGGACTTGAAATGCTGGGAAAATGTTCCCGCTAAATGTTGTGTCATTGTGAGGTTCAGATGGAAACCAACAGATGTCACAGGTAGTCAGAGATAACAATATTTTTGTAATGGTCGACATTTTCGACTTTGGCGCTTGTTGGGTTAAATTCTGCCCGCAAACTGAACAATTAACGGGACAATAAAAAAAAAATCCCTTGCTTAAAGCCGTTCTTGCATTGATCCCTTAAGAGGCAGAGATAAGGGGAGAGGGAGAAAGAAGAACAGACACGAAAAGAGAGAAGGGAACGTAGGAAATACGAAGAGAAAAGGAAATAAATCGGACGAGGACCTAAAGACACGAAAGATGGGAGACCAGAGTGACGTAAAGATCAGATAAAGCAATAAATGCGATAAAATTATAAGAAAATAAAGAAAGCGAGGAATCGCGTGGGATACATAGAGTAGGCGACGCATGCGTATGAGTGCGTTTACATACTCCTCACAACTAGGATCCTCCGTTCATTTTATTATTTGATAATTTAACCTTACTCCCTTGTGTGCTAGCTGTGGAAGCGTTTCAGAGCCTGCAACAAGTGGGCGCAGGGGAGGAACTGACGGCCTCACACTTCAACTAAATGTGTATCCATTCAATACAAGTAGAAAATCTAATTTCTTAGACAAACGGTATCGAGCTTGTTATTCGTAACCCCTTAACAGTTTGAAGCACGAATTTTATCTAAATTACGTACACAAATACAGTTTGGGTCTCACGGAAAACACGCGGCTTCTCTATTGGCACTGCCCGCTGTGTATTCTGAGAATCATAAACACACTAGTGCAATCTATGGGGAAAAATTGGAGGTTTTGAATACTAAAGCTGTCGACACGTACGGATGTATTAACCTCTATGCTTTAAACGATTAGGCTTTAGTTATTATTGTGTGTACTACCTGCTTTAACGTTCAAAAAATCTGCACTTTGCCCACAGATACATGCCATAACTCAGACGGCTGCTAGGCTGTGGGTTCAATTCCGGGTGACGTTCTCGTTGCCAGAAGAATATGATTTGAGACAGTGTACACGACAGTACGTTCAGAAAACAAATAAGATAGACACTATCATGTCAATATCTGCTTTATTTTGCGGTTGATATCGTCACTACATGTTTCGACCCTTACCTGAGTCATCCTCAGGCGTACATGAATACTTGGTGTCAGATTTCTGAATTGCATCATTTATATTCAGTATGAATTCATACTGTGTCTATATTTCACACTATCCTAACAGTACAATTTGATATTTAAAATAATTGAAAATAAAAATAATATTGAACATGTAACAAATTGAATTAAATGATATAAAATTAAAATTACATTTGAAATTCCTGGTTAATGTGACTAATAATAGTCAATATTGTACAGCTAAGTTTTTGTGATCTTTATGGTATGCATCCTGTCTTATATGTTGTTGAATGAAGTAGCACTGGACTAGGTTTATCTCCCAGTTTCTCCTGGTTTCCCCTTCTAGTCGTTGTTCCGCCATTGCTCCATACTCAAATTGTCACTGCCCCTCTGACGTGTATGATAGCCCTAACCAGGCAGCACATTATCACATCTTCTGACTTTAATCTTCCACTTGGCTGGGTACGGAGTGAGAGTGTTCAGAAGACGCTTTCAGTAACTGAGTTATCTGACGGTTTGGTGATCAGTGACTACTGAGTTCTTGGTTAGTTTCGTGGGGTGGGGTGAGACTGAGTCCACTTGCTACGTCGGCCACTAACTGCACTACTGTAACAGCCCAAGATTATAGATGATGGGGGTGGAGCAGTCGGTGGAATGCGAAGTGGCAGAGGAAACCCAAGCAAGTACTAGGAGATACCTGCCCCAATGTCACCTTGTCCACCACAAATCCCACATGACCTGGGCTCGAACCCGGGCCGTCGCGGTGGGAAGCCGGTGACTAACCGCCTGAGCTATGGCACGGCCAACTGCTGAGATGGAAAAGATAGGGAAACAAGGGTTCGTGACCGAATTTGAGGCTCTGTCCCTGCATTTTCCGAGAGGATACAAGGAAATCGTCGGAAAAGCCACAGTCAGAGTAGTCGGTCTTAGGACAGATACTCGAAGGAGGAAAACCCCGAATGCAAACATAGAGCGTTACCGTTACACTGTTTGCAGATTTCTTATATTCGTAAGTTCCAGCACTATACACTGTGAACTTAGAGAACTGTCAAAAAAAAAACTAGCATGAAGTCGTGAATGGAGTACGCAAAGTAATTTGATTGTTTTTAAATCGTCATGTCTAATCTTTATCACACCACAACAACCGCTGCACTTTCGTACAATCCTTCCGTTTTGCCTGATTCCCTCAGTTTAAGAAGATGAAAGTAGGCCTATGAGATCACATTGCTGTCTGTGTGTCTCTGAAACCCCCTTATCAACTCTTGAATGCCTGAACCAATTCTTACGAAATTTTGTATGAATATCATGGCACCTGAGCCTATGTCACTAGTTAAATAACGCTCGTAAAAAAGAATGTGTAATTTTCGTTGAAGATGTGTCGCATTTTCCCCTCTTTATTTTCGATTTTGATTCTTATTAAAAAAATTCATATACTCGAAGTTGCGAAATATATCTATCAATTGTCGCACAAGTTTGTCGTCAATATACACAGCACGGAGCTGAAGGCACAGGGCACGCAGAACTGTGGTGCCAACTGTGAACACAGATGTCACTAGCTGTGGGAGGATGACGCAAATATTTAACCGGATTCCGCTGCTGCATTGTTTCCGTCAACAAAGACAGTCCCACATATGGAACCCCCACGACGGACCGGTACAATGCTTAACAGAAATACGAGGAACGTTTAATTCTTTATTTTAGTGCAACAGTGTCGTTTGGAACACATGACCTATTAATGTAAGAAGTGATGGTAAACTGTCCCTCTGCTTAATTAAGCCCGAGATGTAGGTGGGTGTAGCTGAATGAATTCCTAACAACACACCAGATGGAGATGAGTGATCAGCTTCACGTCCCGGCGGCTTTACCACTGGGGACGGAACCCATGGTACCCAATGCACAGGAGACCGGGCGGGCCCCAAAGCCAGTCTGAAAACTGTGTGAAGAAATGTATTTTGCTGTCTTGGATATCGAACTCAAGTTTCTCGGTCGTGAGGTCCGTAGATAGTCATTATATTGACTCAGTTATCCCATCTCTACCTACTAATATACGTTTAATGATAACCGTTCGGTATTTACAATGATGATGATGATGATGACGAAAGTAGCCAGAAGTGAGGTTCTCATGGCAATAGATGCTAATAATATGGTCTTCTGACATGTGACCCCTTGTAGTTTTGTAGATAAATGGCAACGTTTCGGAGTAATCTGTTCACGCCATCTTCCATCCTGAAGATGGAAGCAGCAGATTAACATTACATCTCATTACACCTAATGTCACGGTCGGGTAGCCAGTATAACTTCTTCGTATTCTGGACGTTCCAGGTTTGTATCTCAGTCCTGAAACCGCCCGTCCTGAATGTGGTTTTTCCTAGTTGGTTTCTTCCACTAGGGGCGTTACTGTCCGTGATTTTAGTATTGGTCCACTAACTTAAATTAGGTTTACAGGGTGTGTA